GTGCAACCAACATCCACGCAAAGTGAAGGTGTGAGCAAGTTGTGTGTGAGTAAGTTGTGTGTGAACATGCTGTGTCTGAGCAAGTTGTGTGGTGACAAGTTGTGTGTGAGCAAGTTGTGTGTGGACAAGCTGTGTGGTGACAAGTTGTGTGTGTGTGTGAGTCAGTTGTGTGTGGGCAAGTTGTGTGTGAGTGAGTTGTGTGGTGACAAGTTGTGTGTGAGTAAGCTGTGTGTGGACAAGTTGTGTGTGAAGTGGCGGGCAGCGGGCGGGCGCGGGAGCAGGCGGAAGTGCACAACCAAAAAACAGAACCCCACACGAAGATGTGGGGAATAAGCTAAAACAGAAAAATGAATTCCGATTTGGGAATGAAGTTTTCTTTTCCGGGTGTTGATGAAATAGAACAGACGCAAAATTTGGCACTTGATCTCCGAAGATGCCGAGAAAAATTGATCACCAGAAACGGGGGATGTGGCAATGTGGCCAGGTGAAGAACATGATTGCTGAAGATTCCTGGGGACTTTTGCGAAAGTTGACGCTTTGCCTGGTGATGGGGCCCGGGAATGCCTAGGAATCAGAATAAACCCATGGATCACTGGGGATATCACATATCAAACCGGGTTGCGATGGGTATGAAAATGTTATCAGAACTTAAGTGCTGCAACGGGGCAAAGTTCTCCGAAATTGCCAGAAAGAAAGTGTCCTGCTGTTGTTAAGCCTTCCGTTGAGGCATTTCGCAGGAAACCAAGCTGCGGATTCCAAAAAAGTTTCAAGTTGCTCCTGTCGGTTGGTGGTTGCTCTGAGGACGTTGACCGCGCCTGTGTTCCTGGCATTGACCTTTCTGGTGTCCCTGATGAACACCTTGCCCCATGTGGCGAAAACCATGTCCCGTGGAGGGCTGTTGCTGATGAACCCGGGCATTGATAGCAACTTGGTGGCTACATTGATGATAGCTGGTGATTTCAGACCACTATAATCATCAACCAACATCATGAATGGCCAGTTTGGTATTGTAGCTGTAGTGATTTCATGGGGACCAAAGCATGATTTTAAGTTGCGGAATTTTATGGGTTTTTGACCATCCTGGTTGATGATTGGTTCGTGGATTCCACCCTTGATATATTGGCGATGATCATCATGATTTGGGAATCCCGTTCTTGACCAACCAGCCTGTTTGTTTTATGATGCGATTTGTGTGTGTGTGCAAAAATGGGGATTATCCCTGCAATCCAGTGGTTTCTCGTGGTTTCTCATCATATCGCATCATGTTCCCTATGAACAATTTGTCATTTTGGAATATATCCCAGGTCTGTTCAAACCCAAATCGCAAGGGTATGAGCTCAAGGAAAAATACGGTGGCTGTTGCACATGAAAAAGGGAATGGGATTGGCCATAGGCTCGAAATTGCGAAAATTGAGGAATTTTCATGCTCCATCTGTGGGCTGGGTGTCTTCATGTTGCTATCCGGCGCCCTATTTTTAATGGTTCTAACAGCCAGCCAAACCCCATCCAGTTTGAAGGTAGTATCATGATCATCGCTCTGCCGATGATCGCTTGCATGATGTCCTACCGTTCGGTGACGCGGATGTGGATGATTTGCTGTAACAGCCACTGGGCTGACTACCATTTGAGCGCCAGATTGGGGGAAGGGAAATATCATCGAAACCAGCAAAAAAACTGTGACATGTTCTTCTCAAAAATGGAGATCAAGAAGCAACTATTGAAAAACACCTAGTTTTTACCATACAACTGCAATTTTCATCCTTTTTGACTCCCATGAGGCACTGTGGGAAGTTTGGGCTTTGTGGAGGATTTCTCTGGAAAGAAGACCTGGGTCGCGCGGCTAGTGGTTTGTCAAAACATGTACGACCCACGGCAGCAGTAGAGCATGGCCAAAACCCTGGCAGTGGCCGGGGAGGTTGTGTGAAACATCCACAACTGGCTGGTGGTTTCATAATGTTTCACATTATATAATCATGTTTTTTTATTGTTTTAAAATGATTAATCACATGATTAATCATGACTAATTAATCATGGTGTGTTTCTTGATTTATTGATTTGTTGATTCGGTTTATCCCAACCGACAGATTACAAGGGCCTGGAAAAAGATGCCATGTCGAAATCCCCCAACAGAAAGGCCCTAAATTCACCCATCCATTCGCTAAGCGCTCCGAGGAAACCAACTTTCTGCTGACGGATCTCTATGAGCCACCTGGCTCAGCAATTGGCATCATCAGAGGTGCTACCCAGATGAACATTCGAGGTTCATGTGGGCAACATCTCGGGAGATACAGACCACAATTGGGTCACCCACAGAAATCGGAGAGTTGAAATACCAAAAAGAACCACAGATTTGTAGCATCCAGTGGGTAAATTTGGACCACCAATGGGAGCCATTGGAAAGCCTGGAGATGATGAATTACCATGATGACGTTGAGATTCCCCTAGTTACATATTCAACACACAAACTGATATGGAGGTTTCCTAAGTCATGGGGTACCCCATGCATGTTTCATTCATTTTGATAGGAATTTCCATGAAATAAACGATCCAGCTATTGGGGATCCCCCATTTTAGGAAAACTCAGTCAACGGAGCCATAGGTGATCATGACCACCCAACCAGAACACGTCCGCCCCGAAAACAAATCTGAGTGGTTCTACTTGCCATCAAAACGAGCAAATATGAACAGATATCCCAGGAAAAACTGGTAGATTCCGACCTCACAGCTTAGGTATATTATCAAATCAACATATACTAACATGGATCAAGATATATCGCTATATCCATTATTTCCCTACTTTAGCATCAGTTCTAACCCCCAAAAAAATTTGCTAAAGCCATCACCCAGGTCCTGGGCGTTGCTGCACTTCGCCAATTTGGCGCTGCAGATCATCACGGCCTCCCAGCAGCGGCTGCGACAGCGCCAGGGCCATCCCTTGATGGCGCCCGCGGGGCTGCGACAGATGGCACTGCAGATGCAGGACGTGGGGATCTTCATGGGATCATGGGAAAATCATAGGATGTTTTTTGCAGTTACCCTTTGGTAATCAAAAAACACACCATCCCAGGACCATCCCACACTAAATGGAGGCTTATAGCTGGGAAGCTCATCTATAAATGGTGAATTCTCCAGCAAGCCATGTTGGATTAGCTACTTGAAAGTGTTGAAGGAAACAAAACTGATGAATATGGCGATTTTGGTGCAATCCCATTCTGATTGGCGATTCAAAATGGTCAAAAACCACACATGTTCCAATGATATTTTGGGGACGGGTTGAGTTAGATGACCAGGGCACCAGCTGCGACTGATCGCGAATGACCACCAGCAGGGGAGCTCATGGACATGGAGTTATAATGCAGTGAAAGGTGTGTAACACGGTGTGTAACACGGTGTGTAACACGGTGTGTATCTGATGTTTTGAATGATACCAACAAGTCATTCCAATGCCAATGCCATGCGTATCTTGAAGCCAGGAGAAGTTGACACAGAGTGTGGATACTCTCACCAAACAAGGCAGGTCCGGAGCAAACCTGGTGGATTCTCACCTACTTAGGGGACAGTGGATCAATTGCGGGGGCTCTGAAACAAAGAAGTTCCCATCATCCTGGAAAACATTGGCATGGTGGCGCAGGCCCCAAGTAACAGCCACTGGGAGGTTGAACAATATCACAATGTCACCAACAGCAATGATTCAGTTCAGATGCGTTTCTCATTGATGTTCATGTGTTCATCATCTTCCTCCATCATTTTCCCGCTCTTTACCCTTAACTGTGCTTTTCCAAATCAATTTTCAAATGTTCCTCGTCTTTTTCATTTCATCGTCCCTGGAATTTAGGTGTTTTTCCCAATGATATGTCTGGAGCATCCCATTTTCTCCAAAATTTTGCTGTTTCCCAGATTCCGGAACCAACTTTTCATCATTTCCTCCACTTTTTCCCCCAAGTTTTTCGGTCGCAGGCATCTACCTCTTCAATGGCACCTGCTTCGCAGAAGCCTCCTATAGCCTAGTGACGACCTCTGTGGAGGCGGAGCTCAGCATCCAAGTCCACACGGTTTTGACTGTTCTTGGATTGTCTGGCTGGTGGTTTGGATTTTTCCATATATTGGGAATAATCATCCCAACTGGATAATATTGTTCAGAGGGGTTGAAACCACCAGCCAGATTGTTGTTGGAAGGAGTTATGGTAAAATACCCGACCCAACCATTACTCAATTATGCACCAAGTTGAACACACATCCTATGTCCCAAAGAATTTTTAAAACGGGATTGCATACTAGGGTCCGAATCTTTATATTTTGTAAATGTCCCTGTTCGATCCATTTGAGTTTGAAAACAGGCTACCTGGTACCCCAAAATCCAGTGGATTATCATCACTTTCGCCATTGAATGGCCATGATTTGGGTTATACAGTTACCTCGTTCAGTCAAACCCATTTTAGGGTTCCAACGCTTCACTTCGAAAATGCACACGTGCCATCAGGAACTATCGTGGGCTTCAGTTGCCAACCAATGGTGGGGTCTGAACGAGAAGTCCAACTGCTTCAAATTCCAAGCAAAACAATGAGTGGAATATATGATGGACATACATAATTGAGATGTCATTGATCATGGGAAGCTCATCATTGGGCACTTATCATTCCCCCAATACACAATGGCAGATGGGTCATGGGTTCCCCAATGGCTGAAGAGGCTTATTTGGGTGGTGCAAGAACCATGGAGTTCAACGAGCGGGTCTATCGGAGTCGCTCACGTCCCTGGATTTCTTTGAGGGGAGCTTACAATTACACTGGTATTGGTAATTGGACCCTCCAAATTCGGAGGATATTGGGGAGCTTACAACTTGGAAACTTGTTGCAACTAACTTTCATGAAGGATTGTACCTGTAGCACCTACAAAATGACAATTGACAAGATGCCAAAGACTTGCTGCATGGATTGGTTTCATCACATCATCACTGATCAGCCATTGTGTGATTGGTTAGCCGCAATTTGTCGGTTTCCCAAGCATTTAAGCAGCCATGTGAGTATTCAGCAACCATTGACCTAAAAATCCTGGAAGTTTATTCTGTTATGATACAATCATTGAGATGATTTCCGGTGAACCCTCCACCAGTCTAGGATTCAACCATCAGCCAGAAACCAACTAATTTCTTCCGATCCTAAATTGGTAAGTAATCCAAATAATAAGCGATTGACCGTTGGAAACCATGGTTCCATTGTTGTCATTAAATGGCCAAAGTTCGTTTGCAATCATGGTTCCACTCAATTCAACCAGCTATATAGAAACTGATTTCCAACATATGAATTCTGTATAGTGGTTTATGAACCAACATCTGTTATGTATATTATATATGTAGGTATTCGCATCAGGGAATCAACAGTCACATAAAGAGAACTTCTGGCTTAATTTTTGAATCTATTCATTTTGGGGACTGTATTTGGGGAATGAAACGTCCACTTGACCATCAACCTGCTGATACTATCATACAGCCATCCATTCAAAATTTTAGAATCAACATGATGATACACAACCATTCCACCCGGATAGACAACTGACCATTCAACCACCATTCAATCGTTAGTTGTGTATCATCATTTTGTCATCCATTCATGAATTTGACCGCATAGAATCATCCATCTCAACAGCATGTATGGAAAAACACCATACAAACCAGAGTAGATCAAGAAAAAAACATTGAATATCCATTAAACATCCATTCAACATCCATTCTGTGCCATTAAACTATCATTAAACATCCATTCAACATCCATTAAGTGTCATTAAACTGTCATTGTTTTATCCATTCAACATCCATCAAAATCTATCATCAAATCCATCCATTAAACTCATTAAACTATCATTACGTGCCATTAAACTATCATTAAATATTCATTTAAACATCCATCGCCATTAAACCACTAAACATCTATTAAACACCATTAAACCGGCCTCACTTTCTATCATCAAATTCGGTCAGATCCATGAAACCATCATTAAATCCATGCAACATCCATTTTCTACTATAAGTTGCATCAATTTCTACCATCAAAATCATCAAAATCCCATGGGATGTCCCAAGGCGTTCACTACTTCTTCCTGGGCATGGGCGCTGTTGCCTCCAGTGCCGCCATCGGCAATGTGGTGACCGTCGAGATGACCTTCGAAGAATGGCTGCGCCTATGGCGAAACCCCAGCAAGAAATGGCGGGTGTAACGGGAAAACCATGGGAAAACCATGGGAAATCAGAGAAACCATGGGAAAACCCTAGGAATATCATGGGAAAGTCAACTCTAAATGAAGGTTTTTTGCGCAAATCGTTGGTTCATGATGGCTGAGGGAATTTCACTCACCAATATATTGGGGATTCTCATGATCCATTGTAGGAATATCAGCTATACATGGGAAATTTTCTGTAACTATGTTAAATTATGAACGGCTATAGATTTTTATAGATTAACATCCCAATGGTTGTCGGTTAAAATCCCGATATGTGTTGGTTAAATGCAACATTGTTGGTGGTTCTGTTTCCTACCTTAAGCAGTAGTACAGGTAAACCATGGATGGTGGGATGGGTCAAAGCCCACAAAAATACCAGATCTTCAGTTGTTTTTGGGTGAACAGCAGAATACCACCGTTTTGACAGATAACCATGTCTCGTTTTCATGGTCGATGTTCCCCACGTCTTTTCTGATGAAGAAGATTGTGGGCCAAAAATTGGGAGAATAGCTAAGTTGAACAGATTCTGCATGTTTGTTTGTTCCCCTTTGTTTTGATCTATGATTGTTTCTTTTTTTGGTATGTTGGAAACAGCAACCAGTCCCAAAAGCCATCCAATATGAGCAGGTTTGTCTGGGAATTTCAGGCAAAAGCTTTAAAGTCCAGTGGCTTACCATCGTTTCTCCTATTAAATTGCCATGAATTGGTGTTATGCCCAATTTTTTGAGAAACACGCAAATCATACAAATTTATATATATTCATATACATATACATATACATATACATAATTACATAATTATATGTATATAATATATATATGTATATATTATCAAGTTGGTTATACAACCCATGGTATCCCAATGGATCTCCATTATAGATCCCATTATACCCTTATCTTTCTTGGTTAAATCCACAATAGTCCCATCATATCATATCAACTCTTTCAGATCATCGATCACGTCATATTAATCATATCAAGGTGCTTACAGAACCTCACCCCCACTACATCCTATGTAGCCTCCTATCCCCATTCCATCCCCTGGTTTTCGGCCACATCACGGAGGGAAAGCTTCAGACCCTCCGCGAAGTTTTGGTCCACGAAGATTCTGCTCTCCATCGGTCCTTCAGCTCAGAATCACCCAGGATGCCGATGACTTGCGATGGATGTGGGGTGCCCATTGAATCCCGATGGATCATGTTGATTCATGTGGCTGTTTTGGGAAAATTCCATCATGTTTTGATTGTTTGGGTCTTGGATGTGTTGGTTCATGACTTGTTGGCACTGGAAAACCCAAGTGGCACTGGAAAACGGTGCCACGTCAGGTTTCATCCAGACGCTGCTGCTGGAGATTCCACCCCTCTCTACCCATCTCTCAATCACCGAGAAGGACGGCGTGTCTGAGAACCCCAGTTATGGCCATTTGACTAGGGGAAAATGAGGAGAATCCATTGGAATTAGGGGGATCCTATATTTAGAGGAACCCATATGCGTCAAAATTTGCTCCATTCATTGGATGGTCAAAAGTTGGATGGTTCACATTTTACAAATGTTTCCAGACGTCAAGAATCAAAAGAGAATGTGGTAAAGTAGATGAATGCATAGATCTCCATTTTTCACTCGTTGAATCATAGAGGGGTAACCTTCAGTGCAGAACCAATAGGTCAAATAGGTGGTAAATGGTATGCCCAACGGCCCCAACGGACATTGGTTTCCCCGGACCCGCCCCAGGATCTCTTCTATGCATCCTTGCTGTGCATCGAATGCTTCCTGTTGAGTTTGCTTCATGTGACCTGGTCAGAGGAGAGCAGGGCTCAGGAACAAACTGCCTGTTTTGTTCCTTTCTTCACACCAGGTATCCTCAATGTAGGGTTTGGGTTCCTGTGGGTTCCTGGGAAACCCCAACACTATCCCAACGCTAAGGTGATTGCATGGAACCCATCAGAGTCATGGCTGATCGATCTGCGGAACCAATTGTCGGCTGAGACATGACTCGAATGACTCGAATGACTCGAAGCCGGAAAGAAAATGGTGACCGCCACCAGCAACGGATGCACTGCTTCACACCGCAGATGCACAAGATCGAGATGCTCATGGCAATCCCAAGGAGATTTCTGCCAAACAAGGACCGTGACAGTTGCTGGAGAAAGACAGATGACTCACGACCATCAGGGCCTCGAAGTTTACAGACCGCGGCTGGGAAAAAGGAGAACAGGCAGTTTGGACCAGGAAGAATGTGTTGTTTTGACATTGGGGAAGGTTGGGAAGAGAAGGATGGCTATAGGTTTAGCGCCCGAGATTGCCACCAACGATGCATGCAAACCATTGACAGTAGCATTATTTCAGCACATTTAGAATGATTCAGTATGAGGTGCAGGTATGAACCCCTTCAAGCTCCATTCTACGAAACAAACGTAGCAGAAAAATCCTCCACGTTGGATCACCAGAGGGTACAGTTCTGCAGGCGAGGACGACCACGACGAGGACAGGGCTTGGGGATGACCCCGATGCTGTCGGCGCAAGGTTTGGCGCAAGGTTTCTGATGGTTTCGCATCAATTGGTCACCATTGATCACCAACAAACACAAACATTTGTCGAAAGGTCTCACCAGTACCTTCCCATTTTTGAGCTTGAGCCAGGAGGAAGAACTAGAGGCGCAACTGAGCTGATCTCCAACTGGAAGACTTGAAATTCCTCAACGGTAATGAACTGATCTGAACTGCCATTTGTTTGAAGATATCGATGTTGAAACATGTTGGAACATGTTAAAATTGGCTTAAAATTCAATGGCTTAGGCCAGCACTAAACTTATTTTCTGCCATGAGTTCTTTGGTGCTTCGACGAACCTCACAGGTTGAGAGTCCGGCCAAGAGTGGAGGAAAGGTGCTGGTGGGATTGACCGTCTTCCTGGGAAGCTTGGTGTGAAAGCCCAGCATGCCCAGCACATCCCGACATCCGAGTTTGCAGACCTGTCGTTTCGTTTCAGCCCATGGACAAGATATCTGTATATATAGGGGAAAGGCTGGATATATAATAATATAGAATAATATATAATTTAATATAGTATAATATAATATAATATAATACAATATAATATAATACAATTTAATTTAATATAATATAATACAATAAAGTATAATTTAATTTAATATAATAAAAATAGTATGATTCAATTTAATATCATTTAATTTGCATAAATATATATATATACAAAACATATGGAGTAGATATGAAGAAAGTTCCAGAGTTCCGCCGAGTTGATGGTCGTGGCCATCACCTCAGCTGGCTACATGGCCTACCAGCGCAGCCAGGAGCCATACTGGATATGTACCAGTGGCTGTATCCACTATGATAGGACCCTAATAGGGGATACATCTATATATATATATACATATATAGACAATAAATAAATATATATGGATAAGTGGGTATATCCAATAGTTTATCGGATATATCCGATAGAACCAGGCTTGTCTCGTAAATGTGGGTACCCCAAAATCCTGTTACGAACAATCATGTTTCTGCATACAATGGAGAACAGCACAATCACAGTGAAACTTTCTCCCATGGTTTGCCAATATTCATCATCATTTTCCGTGTAAAGATGGCATTGGATACCGATCCATACCTCTATTTGTGGGCATGATGTTTGGAAACGGCTTCCGTGACTACGAGCTAGTTGGTTTGACCCATACCCAGTTTCCAACAAGAAACAAAAACACTTGGTGCATTTAATGATACGCGAGGATATGCCGAAATTAGTCAAGCTAATCCATCCAATTCTTGGATTCCACAATTGGACAATTAAGGTTCCCATTGTTTTTGGTGTGTTTTTCTCATCATTGACAGTTGATGCCATCATCTTTCATGAACTGTGACAGACCCACGCAGTGGCTTTACTCGCAGGAGCAGAGACAACCACGAGATGCGGCACCAGCGCAGGTGAGAATTTACAAAGAAACCACGGCTAGAACAGGATTTTTGAGCCATTAGGGGGAATGTAAGACCTGAAATTCCGTGTTTTTTTGTGTGTTTTTGCTGGGTATCTACTTTTCTGCTGTCAACTGCTGTCAGCTCAGGGATTGCTGTGAGGCACCCGCAGCCTCTCCAGCCCCAGCGGCAGCCTCAACGCGGGGCTCCCGCGCATCCGGAGCCTCCGGAGCCTCCGGGGCGGGTGCTGCGCCAGCGGATGTTTGAAACTTAGAACATCTTAGAACTCAAAAAAAATTGGGATTCCACCAGTTAGAGCGGGTAAACCGCACATGCTGGGTAAATCCTGATGCCAGAAATTGTGCTTTTCCGAGTTCCCTTTTGCAGAGTAAGATTCGGATCCAGGCCCCAACCTTCACTGGGGGCCCTGGAGGCCCTGAGGTGCGGACTAATGGACGGAAAAACATAGGGAAACTGACTGGAAAATGATGAATATGGCATGGACGGAAATTGAGATTTGGATTTGAGGTTTGATTTTCAGACGAAACCTTTTTTTGGTGTTGGGATGTGCTGCAATATGCAAAAAGGGACTTTGGTTGCTGGGATTGTTTTGCAATGCTTGGTGGTGAAGATTCATCGAGATAGTAAGTCAGCTGGGTGGTGGTGATGGAGGTGTGGGTATTAACCATTGAGATGCAGTGGGTGATGGGAACGGGCTGACGCTTGGAATTCCTTGTCAATTTGAGCTTGACAATCCCCACAAGTTGGCGTCATGGGATGGAATCTTGAGATCCTTTGCCAGACACTTTCAAAGACACAGTCTCGCTACCTTCAAGAAATTGCAAGTATTCAGGGACAGAGGTTTGATGCAAGGTGTGACAAAGACGTGACACACATGGATACAAGAGTGCCAGGTTACGTTGACAAAGTGACTGAGCGATGTTCTGTGTTATCACCTGTCCCACATTCGATTGGCTTCTGTAAGTGTAAAATCGATACAACTCTGGAGCTGAATATTTGAATATGGCTATTGCCGCAATATGGTTGACCAAAACGTTTGTGCCCAAATTGAATACTAGATACTTTAATTTTGAAATATTAAAATCCTCTATGTAATACTTAAGCCATGTTGGCATTGTCAAGTGTTACACAAAATTTGGACCTCCCCATTTGCAAAAAGCCCGCAAAAGTGCACGCCAGGCCGGAGCATGAACTTGTGACCTGTGTGGCAGCAAAAGTGCTGAGGGCAGCGGTGAAGACATGATGAGTTCCAGAAAATCTCGTGACCGATTTTCCACAGGAAATACGCGGTTCAAAGTCATGAATTGTTTAAGCCATGAGGTTGTGGAGTTCCTAATGTAGCAATGAGAGTTGGAGCTGACACCATTGGTTTCCACAGTTTCCACAGTTTCCACGGATTTGGCCAAGCTTTGGGGATGATTCTCCAATGCCTTAGAGCAAGAGTCCAGCCTGGTATCACCAAAACCACGTTGATAGGGACATTCATCATGTCCGTGCCTTGCTGGGCACGGAATTTTCACAATTCCTGACAAATGTGTTTTTCATCCATCGTTTTTGGACAGCAGAATGACAGCTGAGTTGCTTCAGCACGCTGACGTTTAACTTCGGCTGCCAAGACCCTTCTTCCTGCAGCCAGTCGCGGCTCAAAACTCATAGATGCCCATAACAAAGTCCACAAGACTTCCAGCCATCAGATCAACTGAGAAGCAAACCTCAAAGCACTGCAGATATGCAAACCATGCACAGATGTTCTATGCTGCTGCCCCTTGAACCGCAATTTGGATTTATACCCTCATTGACACGAACACATGCCAATGCAATTTGCATTTAATATGTCATACCGTAGTTGTAACTGGAGGTTTACCACGGCGACCATTTGACAGGGAAAACATGAGATGTTTCACCAAACAAAAGCTGAAATCTAAAAATCTGCCGCCATGATGGCCTCTTGCTAGGCTTGGAGGGTGGTCCAGGATGAGGAGCTCATCAACCTGTGAGATAGCAATTCCAGCCATTGACAGTTGGATACAGTTGGTTTGTTGCTGTTGGGGGGTGCAAACTGAGGGTTGCCCCACATATTGCAGACCTTCAAGATGATCCAGACCAGGTCGGTAATGGCTTCGCCATGTGTCGGGGATACTTCGCCGCCTGGCATTGCATTCTGCTGCGCTTGTTTGAGCCATGTTCGAAGTTGGGTTTTTCCACAAGGGGGCCGCTGTTCAACTGGTTCCCGTTCTATGAAGAATGTGGGGATCCACTGTGCGACAAGTAGATGTAGTTTCTTCCAGAGTAGCAATTCGATTGCCTGGAGATATGCTCGATGAACGGACTGTTGACATTGTACTTGCCTTGATGCTTAAGTATTCAATCTTAGGTGGCCATAAGACATCCGTGGTTAATGTTCATGACAAAGTTTCAGCATCATTTTCAAAATTCAAGATCATAGTAATTATAGTTAAGAAATACACATAGGCATTTACCCAAGTTTGGAGGCACTTGAAGTTGTCAGAGGTTTACAGAGATGACGCTTCATTTGCTTGAGTGGCTTTGAAATCAATGAATTGGATGCGGGTCAGATTTCGAGCAAAAGGCGTAAGGTGCCAAAAAATGCGGGCATCCAAACGAACGTCACACTGTGAGAGATGAGAACAATGTTAACCCATAGCCACTTCAAATTTGAGCCATACTATCATATGAACGGATGCCTTTAAGGACATGCATTCTGCACTGTGTTGGATTCCTAGAACTGCACAAGGCAAAGTGCGTCTTCGGTGTGGCAGTGCTGCTGACGCTCTTGTGGTGACTTGGCCACAAGTCGTCGACCCCCAGTTGAATCAGGGGTTCAAGCTTCAAGAGAACCAAGCATTTTCGGCCGTTTCTTGATTTCCAGTATTTCAAACATGGAAAAGCCGTGTCTTCCATAGCTCAATCGTCAACTTTTTTCGCACTGCCATGTTCCACAGAGGGTACAACCCATTTTGGCAGCTAGCGAAAAATGATGATATGGGCTTGAACATAGCGTACAAAATCCCACGGTTCTCATTGTTCCATTTTGAAACGTCATAAATGCCTAGCCTCTTGACAGATTTTCTGCCAGGTCCAGTGTGCTGCTGTCATGCCAAGTAGCTAGCCCAATTGCTGCGCCTGCGCCGGGCGCAAATGAGGCCCATGTTTGCGGGTTTCGCGCTTTCTTTGGCAAAGTGATGGTGGCATCTGTTTCAGATTGCACCCTCCAACGGCAAAGCCCTTACCTTTCGATGGTAAAAGAATCTACAATGTAAATCATGACTATGATGTACCATCATGGTCAAGATATGTCAAGATATGTCAAGATATGTCAAGATAATCATTATCTAAATCCATAGGAATCAAACAATGATTTTGCTTCTGGGGATGCCTCGACCTGGGCACAGGCACCTCGCCCAACGAACCAGACGCAGCATTCGGAGATGGCAACGGCACCGGATGTTGGCACGCAGGAGACTTGGAGACAAACATTCCGTGCTGAATTCTCCACCAATTTTAGCATTGCTGGATTACTGTGTTTATCTCAGTTTGATCTTCACCACCACCACCACCACCATCATAATCATCATCATTATTGTAGTCATGTGCAGGCTCACTATTGCGATCGCCATCGTCATCATTATCATCATTATCACCATTGTCACCATCATGATATACCATCATTATCACCATGTCTTTTTCAAGATCTTCACGGCAGCTTCAGTGATAGTATTGAGTAAAACTAATCCACTTTTGAAGATTTACTCAGTCTGCATGCAGCTGCATCTCTCGGTGTTGTAAGTTTCCGAAGCTTCCTGCCATCAATGCAAGTATCAGTTGGGCCAATGCGACACAGATTGACTTTCCAAGTCATCAGCCCTTTCTGTGTGCTCAGGTTGGACTTGAAATGTTGCAAGTGACATGTACTCAGAGAACCACCATGATACACCCATGTATATTGGATGTCCTTGTAGACTCTATTGATCTAGGGTGCCAATGGTTGGTTTGGCGACTAACTATGTTCACCAGCTACTAAACAGCAGGCACCGACTACGATGACTATGACTGCGCATATCGCACCCTGTTTGGCCGGCGGTTCAGAAGGATTGGGAATCGATGCTGAGGATTGATGGGGTGGCTGAAAGTTATGCCCCATAACCACAGAAATGTAGTTGGATTTCCTTGGGAATAAACTAGAAAGTATATTCGATGTTAGTACGTTAAATGACAATGGTTCAGGATAAATCTAAACTTTAGTGGCCCATTCCCAGATCTCAGCTGTGACCAGCTGCAATGGAGCCAACGATGGACCAGCTCATGGAAAATGTTCATTGCCCTTGTGCAGGCGGCGACTGCAGTCACTCTGCACAATGCGCATCATCGCACTTCTGCCATCCCGAGAAAAAGTCTTGTGCGCCGTTTTGCCGAAGCAAGAGCTACGAAAAAAGCACCTTGGTGTCTGGGTGGGTTGAGGACACGACCCATGTGCTTGTGATGCTCGAAGTTGTAGATTGATATTTGAGCTGTTGGCCAATTCCATCTTGTGATTGAGCAGCTTCAGCCTGGAATGGAACTGGATAATATTCAAACTAGAACATGGCCAGACCATGAGCAAGACAACATGGAAATTCAAAATCCAAGCATGTTCAATAAAATTTTGGCAGATCCAAGTCCAACTCTCTTATGTTGGGGGTCACGTGTGTCAAGTCCGAGGTGAGATGGTCATGGACAACTGCAGCCACTGTATGGAGCAATGCGGCAAAGTCTCGTGTTCTGAACGCAATTCGTTGGGCGAGTTGGTTCATGCCTGGGTGTAATGAATGAATATTCCTGATGGGGTGAGCACAACATGGTGGGTTGGCAGGATTTCAGACATATGTTTTCAGTTCAATGCCTCAAAACTCGAGAAAATGATCCGCATTTCCCAACACCAAAGCAGTGGGTGCGAATCAGCATGCAGCCAGGGTGCTAATTCTCGCCGCCATGAAGCATATGAGTTTGAGTCAAAGCTGGGGAAGGATCATTAAGAGCAATATTTTCAGTGACTGGGGTCCGTCATCTTGAGACGTGCTTGCTTGCAAGGAGTTGTCAAGGCTTCATCGAAGAGCGAGCGCATTTGCGCGCAGGCGCTTAGGGGTGGTCGCTGCATGGCTTTGGGGGAGGATGTCATTCCCCTGCCAAAAATCGTTCCTCCTACATGAGACCGAACATGGCCAAAGCTACCCAAGACATGAGAATCTTGTTTTGGGACAATTCGTCAGACAACAGTTTCATAACTTGTGGGACTCATAAGCTCATGTGCTGGGGCCTTTTTTCAGAAGTGTTTTCGGCTGACAGTTTATTGCATTCACAAAACGGAAAAGATGTCGGTCAAGTGAGGGTTTTTCAAAAAATCCGACCGGTTGATTCAGTTGATTTCATCGATTTTCTCTCCATTGTTGGTGACGGTTGGTGTTGCCGCAGGAAGATGTGCCAAATCCATTCTGGTGGGGCATTGTCCCATGTGCAAGGACAGCTCAGCACACTGCGCTGTGTAAGGATGGCCTAATGGATCTTGCTTCAGGCACATTCACCACAGATGGTGTGGGCCAGCTCTTCAAATTTTGAAGGCAAGAGGATTGCATGGGTTTTTCGGCTAATTTCCACGAAGAAGTTGTGAGGACTGCCTTTTTTTCACAGTGGCAGGATCACTGCGAAGCCTTGCTGAATGAGATGCCCATCCGATTTCCCAAAGACCAGCCGAGCCTTGGTGAAAGCGCTGGTCAAGCATCGATGGGTCAAAACAATCATAGCTGGTAAAGCTGGATGGTGATTCCCCTAAATATAGTAATAATATGGTAGTAATATGGTAATACTATGGTAATAATATGGTAATAATATGGTAGTAATATGGTAATAATATGGTAATAATATGGTTATAGTTAATTACATCAATTGGTTTTGAATGGCTTTGACCTTTCCCCACCCTTGATTTCAGTGATGCCAAGGAGCGACCAGGACTTTTGGATCACGAGTTATCCAAAGACCGGGTCCACTTGGGCAACTCGGCGTGACACCACATGGTTCCACAATGGGATGGGGATGGGACATGATAGGAAGCATCACTATGGGGAGAAGTAGCACTGCACACCTGATATGGGTTTGTTGGTGTTCCACACATTGTGCGTTCTTCTTTTCTTGCAGTCCGCTTCCTCTGCATCTCTATCAAAGATCAAACTTCTCTGCAGCTTACCGCTACTCCTCTATGCTCCGGTGAACTCCCTTCAAAGCTCTTTCTCTTCGTGGCTTTTTCTGGGCTCCAGAAGGGTCAAAGGCTCCCTTGGTTTTTTCCAACGTGAAATTGACTAGAAATAGGAAGGCTATGGGGAATTTGTGGCATTCCTTGTTTGTGCCTGAGTCAAGTTCATAAGCATCCCATTGACTGACCCTCCCTACCGGCGCTTTGGTAATCAGAGGCATGGGAAACAATGAAAATTGGAGTAAATTGCATTCTTTAAGGGAGCTAATTACTTTTTCAGGTGGTGGTCCAACCGCAACAATTAGTTGATCCCTGCGTTCTCAATTTAAATTTAAAAGAATGCAATGATTCCGCGGGAAATCTGGGGCTGTCCAAGACTCATCAGCTGATTGCACCAAGGTGCGCCATTTGATCACCAACATGTACTTGGATGCTTGGCCTATCAAGGTCCAAGTCCCTCTGGACTTGGTGGCTTCACACGTTCCCCAAATTTCCAAGTTGAAGTTCCCGGTTTGCTTGATATCAATGGCTTGCTTTGCACAGCAGCTTCTTCCCATTCTGTACAAGTTTCAGCCCCCAACGTCAATACTTGGACCGGCAATCAAGCTAAGGCCTTGCACGGTGAAACGCGACCGGCCAACTTCAAGACCGTCACTCGGGATGCGGAAACCACCACTGTGGACACGGGTTGAATTTTGAGTTCAGCTTGTAACTCGTTTATTATACTTCGATGGGTAAATGTTCTTAGTGCCCACATGTCTGGTTTCCGCTCTCTTCACTCGGGTTTAAGTGTCTTTATAGCGGCTGTTTCATGTATTTCTCTACGATTCAGGTGGACGATCTGATTCCCTTCATCGAAGATGGCAAGGGATGGACCTCTGAGAGCATGTTCCGTGAACGCCACTGGGGCTGACTGACTGTGTCGTAGGACCTTGCCCGGAATTCGTTGGACTTGTTGGAAAGCCATGGAAAAATTTGGCGAAATCAATTGACGAGGCACACAAGCCCCTAAGCACTGCTGAAGCTTAAAAAGCCACAATAAAAATGCCTGAAATAAGTCGTCCCAAAATCTTATGGTTAATTGACTTAATTATGGTTAATTGCCATGTTTTCATCTATTTCCTAACACGCCCGAATCGCGACCAAGGCACAGGGCTGCGGATGTGGAAAAGCCATTCGCCTTTTCATTGCGATACCTTTCCCTGCAAGGCGACCCATGGCGACTCACCCGGAATTTACTGTCCAATCATCCACAAGAAGATCAAGAAGTATGACCCTTTCCGTTTGGAGTGAAATCATTGGCAGTTGGGGATTGCTGAGATCAAAGATTTTGTAGCTGCCTATAGCTGCTAAAAACTCGTTGAAGAACCCGAAGGAAAGGGCTGCAACATGTCAACAATTGTCAACATGTCTGAAAGCACCACGTGGCAGGGCGAAACAGTACACCGACAAGGACCTTCACAGTGCATGTGCCCCAACTGCGCGGCGAAGTTCCGACGTGTCGTCTACATCTATCGTGACCTTGGCAGTCAATTCTCGGACATGGCACCTGGACAGTTATAGTTTGGGCCACTGGATTGCCATGACCAACAAATTGTTTCCTTCCACTAAGACGGTTCTCTGCTCATGGTCTGACCAAAACATTTGGGAGGCTGCGGGTGCAATCTATAGGCGACCAACAACCCGCAAAGGACAATGGCTAAAGCTGGTAAAGTAGGAAGCAGGCCCAATGATGTGTTTGATTATTGACTTTCAGAAAGGTATAACAAACCAATTGCATTATCATTTTTTTGGCATGCATACCCATTCTATGAGGGGCACATGCACTTTGTTGGAAGGATATCGAGATCTACCCAAAATGAAAGTCCAAAATTTTGGTATCCCGTGATGCCGTGAAGCGCAACCTTGACGGATCTGAGGTGATGGGTACAACACCCTGGCATCCTACTTCCGCTTTCGACTCGGTTTAGGACATGTCAAAGACAGAAACTTGGACTTTGAGTGCTCTCTCGGCGGATCATCGAGATCATCGAGAGTCTACTGGGTTTTGTTTGTATCACGAGAGTTCCGGTCCAAACCAAACATATCCAAACATTAGATATCCCCCGGTCTACCAAAGCTTGGTGTATTGCAATGTTTGAGCCACTCTGCAAGACACGCCTTGTTGATCCTTGTTGTCAAGGCTGTTTCCGTATTGCATGTTAAGATGTCAGATCTAAGGCCAGAGTTTTGCAAAGTTCATGAATGACCGCAGGCGCAGCTGGTTTTCCAAGAACATCCGCTTATTTTGGAAAGGTTGTAGCCAGCATAGCCTCCAAGGCACCAAAGGTCTGTGGAGCACATCCACTGTTGGCATCCTGGAATCCACCATGCTTTGTGACTTCGCATATGAAGAGGTGTTGAGGCTCAGGAAATAGTTTGCTAGCATCCCCGCATTAGACCAAGGAAGTTTAGAAGTCAAACTTCCGACAATATGGACAGATGAAAAGCAGAGTAGGGAAGAGGCAGAGAGAAGAGAAAGATTAGAAGAGACAAGAGTAGAAGAGAAAGAGTAAGATGCGCGAAAAGGTAGGAAAGTCGCGAGTCACTGTGTTTTTCCAATGATTTGTGGCTCCGGAGGGTAGAAAAGTAGGCTCGCTAAAGCGGCGGGTGCGGAGCTAGCTGGCCAGATGAGAGATGAAAAATTGCACGCCGTTGTGGCGCGAAGCACATTTCCAAATCAAAATGTACAAAACACACCAGGTTCGGACCATTTTTGGAAGTTGCGATGTCGAAAAAGTGCACACCGTTGTGGCACGAAGCACGTTTCGAAGTCAAAATGTACAAAACACACCACGTTCGGACCACTTTTGGAAGTTGCGATGTCGAAAAAGTGCACGCCGTTGTGGCACGAAGCACATTTCGAAGTCAAAATGTACAAAACACACCACGTTCGGACCACTTTTGGAAGTTGAGATGTCGAAAATGTGCACGCCGTTGTGGCGCGAAGCACATTTCGAAGTTAAAAACACTAGGGGTTCGGACCACTTTTGGAGGTTCAGATGTCGCTTCACTACACAACATTACACTACACTACACTCAACTACACTACACTACACTACAGGACATTACACTACACTACACTCCAGTACACTACATTACACTACACTACACACCAGTACACTCCACTACACTAAATTACACTACACCACACGACATTACACTACACTACGCTCCACTACACTACATCACATTACACTACACTACACTCCACTACACTACATTACACTATACTACACTATCTTCCACTACACTTCACTACCTTACACTACACTACACTACACTCCATTACACTACAACTACAACTACAACTACACAACTACACTCCACTACACTCCACTACACTCCACCACACTAAATTACACTACACTACACTACATTACACTACACTACACTACATTCCGCCACACTCCACTACACCACACTACACTACACTACACTACACAACATTACACTGAATGACACTGCACCACAGATAGACAGGTAGACAGATAGATAGATAGACAGATAGACAGGTAGACAGCTAGACAGATAGACAGATGAAAGAGAGATAGAGAGATAGATAGATAGATAGACAGATAGATAGGTAGATAGATAGAAGATAGATATTTAGGTAGGTAGATAGTCAGAGAAAGAGAGAGAAAGAGTGAGAGAGATCAAGCACCTTTCAGTCCATCAGTGGCTTCGCTCTGCCATCCCTGATTCACAACAACCAACCTCTCCTATAGGTTTCCTATTTTTGAAACTTCCGCCACCGCCTTGTGCGTACTACTGGTATGTGAAGTTTCCACGTTCATATTGCAGCATCCCTAGGATTGCCGCCAGGATGTATCCAGGTGTGTCCTGGGCAGATCACATCCGATCCTGGCAGCATGCTGAAATCGTGCAGCAGGACTTGAAGATCCACTGGTTCCTGGGTTTCGACCGTGGATAGTGCCCCAGCATCCGGTCATTGTTAGGAAAGTTGATGCTGAAGTGTTTAGCTGTTAGCTTTTTTCCCCTCACTGTCAAAAACTTCGTTTATTGAGTGTGATTTAAGTTGGAAAGACCATACATACCTCCGATGACAACAAATTCAACATATCGCCAGGGTTTCAATGTTGGTCTATGGCAAATTTCACGAGGTTGCGCTACGAAGCGATGGAGGAGTCCCCCGAGACAGAGCTAAAACGTTGCTCGTTTTGATTCATGGCTTGGCCCAAGCAAAAAGCAGTCGCCCTTTTTTTCAGGATGAAACATGAATAGAAATGATATGAAATGGTCTGTGTTTGGCCGTCATCAGATCACAATCTGAGGCCTGGCTTTTTTTTTGGGCCTCAATGCCACCGAGGAGAGCATTAGGTGCAGCGAAGCCACACCCAGATGCCAAAGTTGTGATCTACACGTGCGTTCAAGCTTGCCATGGGACATGAGAATCTAAGGCTATTCATTTTGCAAATGTCAACCTTTGCCACTAGTGTCGTCATAGCAAGGCTATAGCTAGAATTTAGTGAAATTGTTTCATTCAGTTTTGTCCCAAGATCTTGCCAGTTTCGCGATCAACGCCTCCTCAGCCAAGACCATGCAAGACATGGAGATCCTTGGCTGCCTCTGTGCAAAGTCGTGTCAATCTTGTCCAGTCCAAAAAATCGTCGGAAAGGCGAAGAGCATCAGCTGCGTAGGCTGCGTAGGCTGAGTAGATAAGATGTGATAAGTTTCGGCAGCAGACCGGCCTTGATGCTCCATTGCTTTCCCTTATTTCCCACTGCAACGAATCATCCAATTCCTACCCAACTTGGCTCCAAGGCAGAGGGAAGGAGGACTAAACTTCTTCAAACTTCGCTACAACCGACCACATCTGAAGTTTGTCACTGCAGGCAGGGGCCACTTGAAATTCATTTCGCTTCATTTCGATCCAGGCCCGACAGATGCCATTGCAGGCTCCGGCGAGCTCGCCACTGCCACCTTGTGGTCTGGCATCCCTGAGGCATCCAGATTACTGAAGCATCTCAAGCTATCCTGATGCATTTTGTGTTGAAGATATAGTCATCAGCACGTGGAACTCTAGGATGAAGATGTCCATCCCAGCGTGCAGGAAGCTTTAGCTATTTGGCAGCTGCACAATGGGCCAATGATGCGATGCTTGGGATATCCCGAGCTGCCGCCGCATTTTGGCCGACTTGATTTCCTTTGGGTATCGGCACTGCTATGGATCTGGATATGGAATTTCCCTGCTTGAAACTAACCCAATGTCCGTTTTGTTTGAAACCCTTCAATGTCTTTTGCATGTCGCCCAAAAAATTGCTGAGAATCCAGCTGTATTTGGTACCGAAGCGGAGCATTTTTCTGGATTCTGCCAAGCTGAGGAAGCGGTAGCATCCACTTTCGGATGCCTAGGGCCGCAAGATTGACTAGGCCATCGTCAAACCTGCTTAGATGTATGCTTCCTTCAATCTTGGTGTCTTGGTGTTGTTGCAATCGAGCCCGCGTCTGCCAGGTATGAAGATCAGGATTTCTCTTGACCCCTGCGCTCCTCTCCAGAAGAAATGAAGTAAATACCAATCTAATAGTCTAGTCAAGCATTTGCAGACGTTAAACCTATTTAAACGGGAGAAAACAAAGCAACAAAACGAAAAGGCTATAGAATCAATTGGGGAAAGCACCAACAAGAATTTTTGGATGAATCGCTTGGCAAACTTTCAGAATAATACTGCTCTTACAATACGGAAACAGAAGCAACAATTCCAGAAGGGCTTCAACCCAAACTATGGAAAGGAAAGGAAAAGATAGCCAAATCAAAGGAAGTTGGGAATCAATCTTCCGAGTTACGGACGATTTTTTTCGAGTGGCTCTAACGCACACAACAATACATCTGACGAAGGGTGGTGAAATGGTGACAATACATCACATAACAATACATCACACAACAATACATCTGACGAAGGGTGGTGAAGTGGTGACAATACATCACGTAACAATACATCACACAACAATACATCTGACGAAGGGTGGTGAAGTAGGGACAATACATCACATAACAATAGATCACACAACAATACATCTGACGAAGGGTGATGAAGTGGTGACAATACATCACACAACAATACATCTGACGAAGGGTTTGTGATGGAGGGAAGTGATGTGTGATGGTGAAGGGTGATGATGGAGGGAAGTGATGAGGAAGGGTGATGACGAAGGGTGATGACGAAGGGTGATGACGAAGGGTGGTGACGAAGGATGGTGACTGAGGGAAGTGAGGGCGAAGTGGCGACTGAGGGAAGTAGTGACACGTGTTGGTGCGTTTTGTAATAGCTGCATGACTGTTGCATGCGGTTTGCTTTGTGGAGGAAGCCGGAGCACGAAACCTTGTGTTTTTCAGGGTAAAATGGCTGCAGCCGGCGATGGTGGGTACCTTGTCTGTTCGGTGGTTGCGAATGCGCTCGTTTCGACGCATAATCGGTTCTTCCATGGTGTTCTGCAACGCGTAGCAGAGCAACTCTTGAAACCATCCTGGTTATATCTTTTCAGGATTTCACCGGGCCTCGTGCGCAGCCGTGCCGTCCACCCACGACTTTCTAAGTGAAGCGCAGAGCACGCTGGTTCCAGAAGACATGCGTGACTTCAGAAAAGTGGCAGCTCGTGCAATTAGCAGCTGCCATGTTTCGCTGGGCTGGCCCGTGCTTTTGGCTGTGACCAAACTTCCGCCGTCCAGAAAAGCCCCGTTAAAAAAGGGAGGCAGCCATTACCAAGAGGACGAGGCTGCGAAGCAAGTCTATGACATATGCCTCGAAATTTGTCAGGACATGGGGTGTGGTCGCAGTGAAGCAACTGGCAAACGGGCCAGCTGGTTGAAGACATGCGTGCGGCCACCGCCACCATAGGAGGACCTCTCAAAGCACATGGGTGGCTGAGGCAGTGCCAGCTCTTTGGCGTTAGTCAAAAGACAACCCAGAAAGCCCGACAGAGCATGCAGTTGGGATTTGCCCAGGCAGGTGAAGCACGCCATTACAAGGCGCAGAAGTGGCAAGACACGACATTGTGGAACTTGAGATACCACCTGCTCTCCAAATATCAAATTTCCCTGGCCCTGACCAAAATGGCCTGGTGGCAGCGGCAGCCAAGAAGTTGTCGTGCAGAACTGCCGCTGATCTGTCGCAAGCACAGAAAACGAAAGAGGCAATATACTTGTTGACCATGAGATTGTGTTTGCATTTGTCTATGGGCAAGCAGAGCACAAGGTGCCCCAGCAGCGCCACCTCAATCAAGCAGCCATGGCAGCAGGCCGGAGAACCGCTGCACCGTACAAGGCTCGGCGCAAGTACTTCCAGGACGGCTTGTGTTTTTCTGTGTAAAGTGGCTGCAGCCGGCGATGAAGGGTATGTGGGACGGTTGCAGATGCGCTTGTTTCGACGCGTAATCGGTTCTTCCATGGCAATTTGCAACGCGTGGATGCAAATTGCATTGTAATGGCTGCATGAATGTGCACATGGTGCTGCTAAACGGTAAACGCATTGTAACGGTTGCATGAACGTTGCATGGGCCCGTAACATTGTAATGTTTTGGTCCAAGAGCTAACGAAGCTTTGAAGGACCAAGTAGTGCTGGGACGTGCTTTGTGCAAGCCTTGTACACAAAGCAATACTGGGTAGGGCTTTGTGCAAACTCTGTAGTACAAAGTAGCACTGGGGCATGCTTTGTGCAAGAATAGTAGTACAATGTAGTACTGGGAAGTCCTTTTTGCGAGCTTTGTAATACAATGCAACGCTGGGAAGTACCTTGCGCAAGCTTTGTAGTACAAAGTAGTCCTGGGAAAGCCTTTGCACACGCAAAGTGTGACAAAGTATGCAAGTTTTTTAAGAAAAAAGTACTGGGAAATGTTTTGTACAAACTAGTACGTAAAATATTCTGTGTATAAGATCTTCGGTGTGTAAAAGCTTCTCTGTGTGAAAGCCTCCGTGTGTAAACGTACTTCTTTATGTCAAAGCGTTGCTGTGGCTAAATGCTTCGTGCATAAGCCTTCTGTGTATAAAGGTTTTTTGTTTCAATATATCTATATTTTAAGGTTTTGTGTATAAAACCCTTTTTGCATATTGATTTGTATGTATAAGATTTTTTTCTTTGATAGTAAAAGCTTTCTAATTTGCAGAAGAACTAAGATGAATTGAAAGGGGATTCGATGAAATGAGAAAGAATGGGTAGAGCTTAGGTTGAGCAATTGACAAGAATTTTTATAATAGAGTAATAATACGGTAGAAGGCGGTACCGGAAGTTTTAACAATAGGAAACCGAAAGGAGTGATTGTAATGGTTATAGTGGTTATTTTATCACATCTGCTGGATGTAGTGTGGTGTATTGTAGCTATAGGTGGTTATAGTGTAGTGGAGTTGTAATTGCATAGTTGTAAGTATAATGTAATCTAATTAGTAATGTTGTTGCTGTGGTGCGGTATAATTAATATATTGAAGTCTTGTGTATTGTAGTGTGGTGCCTTTTAGTGATTTAGAAAAAAAATAGTGAAAAATAGTGTAGTTGTAGTTAAAGTGTTTTGTAGTGGAATGTATTGTGTTTGTGGT